CACCAATGCATGTACCTGACATGGACATCTTAAACACCACGCAACGCAGACATCGCTCACGTAAGTGAGATGTGAGAGCGGAGCAGACTACCCCTGTGTGAAATCCTAGTCCGCGGACGTGGAGGGTCGAGTTGTGTGTGTGCGGCACGCGCAGGTAGGCTATTCTTAGCTCTGTCAGCCGTCTCTTCCAATCTGAGCATCAGTTGTTTGACTGGTTCATGGGAGAGGGTGGAACAGGTGAGATCGACTCCCAGCTCATAACTCGTCGCGATAAACGATCTGACGCGCTTAAGACTATCACGGTGCGCTAAAAGTCGTGGCTTCGAGGGTTGCCAATTGACGTGACGTGAATTATAATGTTCTCATGGTCTAATGAATAACAGGGAGCAAGACCAGTTAGTAAATAATATTGATATTCAGAGTGTAAAATTACCTGACAGCAGAGCACTGCAGCGGAGCTTGCCAGCAAAGCGGAGATTATCCAGACGTGTTGTTTCTGTCACGTTAACACAATCAATTCGGTAAAAGAAAACGGGACTAGGTTGTCAAAAGTGAATTAGTCTGGTACCTCGACACAGTACCTCATTCCGAGACCGGGAAGCGACGTAAAACGGCGCCGGAGGATATGCATAAATCTAGAAGAACTGCATAACTCAACAATCAGTATGTTATTATCGACAAAGACAAGGGAGCCTGGAATGGCCATTTCTGCCTTATTAACCGTCATCAGCCAGTCATATCCAACCCCGAAGTGGGAACACCCGAGTCTCTAACTCGCGACCCGTTAGTTAGGACTCCACGCCTCAGGGAAATGAACGTGACGGCCACTGAAAATGATATAAGCAGGGGTTACAGTTGATGAAGCTCGAGCAAGTGCTACGGCGGAGGAGAATGAGATTGTAGTTGGATGCTGTGGACAGACAGGGAAAGGAAGTATGCGGGACGGTGGGATGGAGGGCAAGGGAGGGGAAGGAGAATGGTGTAGGGAAGGCGAGGAAGCAGGGGATATTGGAGGTGGAGGAACAGGGGTTGGGGGGGTCAGCAAGTTTTTGTTTTCGTGGCAGGTCTGGCGGCTTCTCTGCGGCAGCAGCCCTAACCCGATTGACACTGTCCACGTCCTCCTTATCACCGCGAAGGATCCGGCAGGTCTTGGTGTTATGTACGAGCACACAGTACGGTCCTTCGTACGGTGATTCCAGCGTCTGGCGCACACTGTCACACCGGACGAACTTAGGAGTGCAATTGTCCAAGCCTTTTTCGACATAAGACTCGGTCGTTGGAGTTTGAGGTGGGACCGGGGAAAGCGAGCGCATAAATTGCGCAGGCGATGCACAAAATTTTCAGGGGCCTTGTTGGAACCACGGGAGGTTGGGGTGACCATCTCGCCTGGCAGTCAGAGGGTAGTGCCGAAAACCAAGTCAACTGCACTACAGTCCAAATCCGACTTCAGAGCCGCGCGAATGCTGAGAAGTGCAAGGGGTGTTGTCTGACCAGCTTCCTGGGCCTTCTGCGGCACGCAGGGAAGTCTTTAGCCGGCGATGGGAACTCTCAACCATACCGTTCGGAGCTGGATGGTAGGCCGTCGTCCGAATGCGTGTGCAGCCAAGAAGATTGGGTAGCGTTTGGAAGAGTGCAAACTCAAACTGGGCACCACGATCAGTCGTCACCTTGGATGGGACACCGGATATGGCGACCCAACGACTAACGATTGCCTTCACGATGGTTTTAGCTTGCGCACTCGGCAAATGAATGGCCTCAGCCCAGGGAGTGTACGGATCAACGCAGGTAAGAAAGTGAGTATAGCCATTGGATGGAGGTAAGGGGCCTACGACATCCAGGTGCACATGGCTAGACTGTGCGTCGGGGCTGGATAATGTGTCTGGTGAGGACTTATGACGTTGCACCTTGTTGCGCTGACAATTCAGACATGAACTCGTGCAAGCTTTGACGTCCTTGTTCATGTCAGGCCAGACGAACCTTTCCGCGAGGAGTTTTTATGAGGCTCGGATTCCAGGGTGGGAGAGTCCAAGAACAGTTTGAAACACAGCTCAACGCATCGAAGCAGGCACAAAAGAGCGATGAAAAGGAATCGAGACGCCGCAGCGTGTGCTACCAATACCGGTGGTCAAAGGGACGTCTACGAGTTAAAGACCACTAATGGACTCATCGCCCGGACAACCAACACGCCGTTGCCCATTCGCTATGGCACAAAGGTCAATCCCGTGGGAGAGGTAAAACGTCGAGATGGAAGGTCTGGACAGCATGTTAGCCACCTCATTCTTTGTGCCATCAATGTGGCGGCTGTCGATGGTGAATTGAGAAATGTAGTCCAAATGATCGATCTATCTCGGGTTGTATTTGACTTAATGTGCTCGTAGTCCGTGAAAAATGTGAAGTCGCAACCCTCAAGGAAATTCTTCGAATATTCCTATGTTACAATTGAAAACTCAATTTGATCTCGGCAACTCGCCATCCGGCCAAAACAGTTACATGGAAGTCGAAAATATGCGAAATTACAGGGTTTATAAGTGATTCAGGGGCTATTAACACTCATCGTTCCCACGCCACTCGCATGGCGAGGTCGGCATGTTATGGTCGTTGGGTCAAGGGGGCGAGGAGGGGTGACATACGCTGTGAGTGCTGTTTTTAAATCGGGTACGTTGATCACACACCACTGCCATCAGGAGGTTTGGGCGACGTGCAATCATCATCTGGAGTCGGCGTTGGCCACGGAAGACAGGGCGCCTGTGTCAACGTTTTCTGACAACATAGCACTGGATTGGCTAGCCGTATAGCCACTGGCTCGGCTGTAGCTGGCACCGGTTGGCATAGGCCTCTGAAGAAGCTTGCTGGTGTCAGGTGGACAACCTGAAAGGCTTTTTTGGCAACGACTCGGTGATTCGTGTCGACAAGATGCTCGAGAATAGAGCTTGAAATCACTTTCTTTTCTCCTCTGCTTTGTCGGGCCGATATGTTTTCACGTACTCTCTTTTCCAGGCGCCTCGTTGTACGGCCAATGTAGCCCGCTCCACAGGAGCAAGTGAATGTGTAAATACACATCGATGTGGCCTGCAAGGGAAGTCGGTCTTTACTTCCCAAGCGTAGGAGGGGAGAGTTTGTGAAACATACACTTGAATTCGCCGAGGGAAAGTGCTAGTGGTCCCTGTCTTCAGATGTCGTCTTACTAGGTCACTTGCCGCGTCCCCTTGAAAAGGCTGTCTTACAAATAAGTATTTCTTTTCTGCAGTTGCCATGGTGGGCTTTGCAGTGCGCTCCCCTATATTTCGGCAGATAAATCTTTCTGGGAATCCGTTTTCGTGGAGTCTATCCCCCAGCTGCTGGAGTTTTGACTCAACAGTCCCAGGAGAGCAGATACTTCACACTCTAGCCGCCAATCCCTGGACCAAATTGCGTTTAATAGTTAGAGGAACAAAACTGTGAAAATTAATGCATTGTCCTGTCCGGTTTTTCTTTCGGAATACCCTACGCTGGATAGATGAACCTTCTTGTCTGTGCAGAAGAACATTGAGGAACGCGATTTCGTTGTCTGCCTCAGACTCTTCAGAGAAATTTAACAAGGGGTATGCACTGTTAAACTTTTGGATCATGACGTCTGTGTCGGTGGTGACATCCGTCAGGCAGAAAATATCGTCCACGTACCGACCGTAGAAGACGAGGTCATTAATACTATCTTGTAACCTTGTCCTCTCGACTTTGCTCATGAAGACATTTGCGAGGAACGGACCGAGCGGTGAGCCAATCGCTACGCCGTCTATTTGCCTGTACAGTTGACCATTGCAGAGAAACTGGACGTTTTGGGTGCAATGTGTCAGTAGTTCTTTTAACTTTTCCACTGGCATGCCTAACGGGTAGTTCGCGTCGCGGATAACGTTACAAAGTTAGTTTATTTTTTCGGCTACGGGTGCATTAATAAACAGGAATGCTACGTCTAATGATAAAATCCTTTGTCCGTCAACGTTACTATCTTTGATAGCCTCGACAAACTCGAAGGAATCCTTCAAACTTAGGGGTTACAAATGACTTTTCAGTGGTTTAAGCTTTTCGACTAGCCATTTTGCTATAGTGATCGGGCGAATTCCTCATATCCAGGATTGGACGTAGGGCTAGTCCGTGTTTGTGAATTTTTGGGAGACCGTACATTTTGGGTATGGCCGTGTTCATTGGTCTTAGTCGCTCATATTCTTTGTAAGATATACGACCTTCTTTGTGAAGAACTTTGAGAACAGCCGTCGGCTGACCATCGACGGCCTCGGTTTGGTCCCTGTCTTTCTCGGATTTCGAGAATTTGGTGCGATCCGACAAGATTGCTTCTAGTTTTGCTACGCAATCTTTTCTATCCATCATTACAAATGCCGAACCCTTATCCGGCCTGGTTAGCACAATGTTTCCGTTCTTACGAAGTTCGCTGAGGCTATCGAGATGGACCCTTGTCAAGGGACCTTTGTTTTTTGGAGCCTTCCTTAGGTACTGTTGAATGCAATTAACCATAGTCGACTTAAGATAGTAAACTTCGCTAGGTCCGCTAGGTTTTAGATCGGCAGTCTGACTGAAGAGACTCTCGAACTGGGCTTCTAACTCTAACTGCTTCGGCATCCGCCGTGCACTGCAACACTTAGAACTAAGAGATAGTACCTCTACGAGAGTTTCATCAAGCTGTACCGAGGAATAGTTATGAACGTACCGTTCTGGATTATTCGGAAATGTTGAAGGTGTTTCACAGTCAGGTGAATGGCAAGAAGTTCACGGCCATAGGTACTATATCTCGTCTCCGCAAGCCTCAGCTTCCTAGAGCAGAAGGCCAACGGTCATGTAGAGTCGGTTAGGTGTTGTTGGAGGACGTTGTTGGAGGAAACGGAGGTGTAACGGCGAAGCCGTTTATTATAGCACACACAAGATAACTGGGCTCGAATCTATCATCGGAGACAACAGCAGATATGAGTGATTTACGCACCAGGGGTTGCAGTATTTATAGGATGCAGTCGCCATGCTACCGCATACCTATGAACATCCATGGCTCTCCCTTCATCCGGGACCGTTGCACTTGGTGTGCTAATTGTTTGATGGCCGACATTCGCATCGTTAGTTGCTGCAATTTCATCCCGTGCGTTGGATGTTGGTGTGACGATTGCTCGACCATCTGACGCACCGACCCTGGTGTTGGGACAAGTGTTCACACATGCGCTCCCCGCTTGGCTATTTACCCCGCCTAGGCGAAGTCTCAGCACTGAGTATGGAATGGGGAGTTCATTGCACTTGTTAATTGACTGGGGGGACAGTAAACCATGATTTAAGTAGCCCTTGGATCACGCGGTTGTCACTTCTTGCGAGAATTTCGGCCTCGTCAAATTTGAATGTGTGGCCGTATCTCGTCGAATGAGCCGCAACTTGAGAGCTGGCGTCATTCCTCCGCACCGCTGCAGCGTGTTCGGCCACTCTCGTTCGGAGCTGTCTTCCGGTTTCCCGACGTAGTTGCTTTGTCCGCAACTGCACCAGATCCGATAAACGACTCCAGACGTTTCTAGCCGTGACAGTGGGTCTTTCGGTTTCATTACCAGACGCCTGATGGTTGCCTCCGGTCTATGTGCAACTCCAACCACAAGTGGTGCGAGAAGGCGGCCGACAGCTTCCGAAACGTTCTTGACATACGGAAGTGCTTGCCAAGATTTGGTGTCCGTGCGGTTACGCCTTTTGTCCCTTTTGCGTATGCATCGGTTGACAAAGTTGCGTGGGTAGCCATTGGCTTTGAATACCCGTCGGAGTTATTGCAGTTCGGCAATCTTGTCTTCCGGCTCACTGCAGTGTGTTTCGACACGCCGATAGAGCGTTCCTACACAACTGCGTTTGTGGCTGATTGGGTGGTTGCTGTTTAAGTGCAGTACTTGCATCGTATTTGTCGCTTTCCTGAACACTTTGGTCTTTAGTCCATCACAATCTTTGCGGCATACGAGGACATCAAGGATTTGAGCAGGAACCCGAAACGTCAGACTAATAAAGCTCTTGTCCCAGCGATCGTGTCTCCTTCTTCAAGACTACTTCCTGGGACTCGTCTCTTCGCTTCTATTGGCTGAAGGGAGTTGTTAAACAGGTCATCATTGATCAGAAAAGAAGCGATTGCTGGAACAAGGTCTTTATTCGCCTGACGTTTCGGATTCTCACTTGAATCCATCATCAGAGACAGTAGCAGGTCATCATTCTCATCCAAGCTGGGAGTAGGAAAAGTAAAGTGGTACGATATGTATATACTAAGAACAGTGGGACCAACACAACGGAAAGTGTTGAATGATACAAAGGG